TTTTTAAAAAAATTTGGGTTTATAGCGATATTTGATGCTTTTTGAGTATATTTTAGAGTAGCTATGAACAGGTAAGCAATCTTTGTATGATATAAATGTCAGTAAAAGAAAAGGGGTAGATACAATTTATGATATCATATTTATTATCGAAAATATAAATAATCAAAAAAAGAAAAAGGACTTTTCTTTAGAGACATGGGAAGGTTTTCCATTCCTCGGATATTTATCTTCTTCCATGAATTAATCATGGTAATTGAAAGAAGCTAAAAATGCAATAGAGTAGTCTTTAGAGTTAAGACTTAGTCCGACGGTTTTATGAAACCCTTTTTGAGGCGCCGACTGTTATGTTGCAATGCTGCATGATCCTTCTTGCATTGTGCAAGCACTGCATGTCCTGTTGGAGTTGGTTTTGACAGTGCCTCAAGCCACTGTATCAGGGCTTGAAGTTCTTCATCTTTGTAGTCAAGATGCACTACTAACCACATCAAAAGCGCATCACTTGGACATAGCAGAGTTTGTTCTAGCCACGCAAGCACGAGAGAAGGCTGGGAAAGCAATGCCTGAAACAACTGCCACGCTGAGGATGGGGAAACTTCCCCTGGGATATCCTTTTGATAGACTTTGAGAAAGGCCTTCAATTCCATAAGTAGAGGTACCTGCCATGCAGCTGGCACCCATTCTTGCCCGACAGCCCCCACGTCGCCAACCTGAGGGCACTGAGCTAGAAGCTCCGTTGCGAGCCGCAGCTGAAGGGCCAGAAAAGTATTCAGACCTCGCACTCTGGGAACGTGGGCCGAAGACAGCACCATACCATCACAGGCAAGTGGTAGAGACTTCTCCGCAGCCCCATGCTTGTTGACTCCACGTTCCTCTGAAAGCCCAGCGCCCCTTTCCCTCAGGACGTGTCTGTTGTCTGTATCCGAGAACAGCCCCGAGAACAGTAGTACTTGCACTGTCTTATCTCGCTGTGCGTTCATGCCAAGAGGCAACGCGGCCAGAAAGCAGTAAAAAAGACATTGGGCAGCTAACCGACGGTTCTCATGCGCCGCCTCGAGTTGCCTGGACGACAAGCCCAGAAGCGTCGCCGCGCATACCGACCAAACGAGCTGCATGCGGTGCCATTCGTTGGGTTGACAAAACAACCAAATTTGATGGATAAGATTCTCATAGGACGGAGGGATTGCCTTTTGGCCCGTCCGCAGTTGTGGCGATGAGGTAGCATTGCGCTCACCTTCGCCCTTCAGATATGCTTTAATCTCTTGGACGGTGGCGGGTGCCGCATTAGAGCCAATCCTTGCTTTGGACTTTTTGTCCACCATGGTGGACCCTAACCCTCCGTGATACGTCAATTCTTCCTCTGCGGCACTGTGAAGCTTCGACCAAAGAACCTCTTGTTCACTGGCGTCAACTCTGGGATTGCGACTCTGAACCCTTCCATACCCCTTACTTATCAGGGCTACGTCCTTTCGCAGGGGCAGCTCCCAAGGTACATGCGCTTCGGTGATGGCCTGAATCCACAGGCGGTGCATTATCGACAGGCCGAGGGCGGGTCGTCGACACACCAGTCGGTATTGCATCGCAAAACAAACCCACGCAGTCCCGAAGCGGTGGATGTCTTGTTGAAGCAGCGATAGACAGGCTTGATGACGGTCGACGTCCTCCAAATCTGTGTGCGCCGCGAGAATCTCAAGCAGGAGGGCTGTCGGTGGGATTCGACGGCCGTAAGCCGGGAAATCCATCTCCAGAAGCGAGTCTTTCCGTTCCTTCTTTCTGTGGGCATGCAGCCCCAGGAGCTGAAGCAAATTCGGTGCAACCGATAATGCTGCATGTCTGGGCAGTTCTGTGCGAGATCTCCATGACAGATATGCATCTACAATCTCGGGGGTAGGCATTGGAAGGCAACGGCCCTCCGCATAGTCTATCAATGCACCCTTCACACAGTCATCGCGGATGCCGTCAGACAGCTTTAGGCCAGCCTTACCCATAAACAGGCCGACACGTAGAGCTTCATTAATCACCTCCTCGTCCAGCGCATAAACCAGCCCTATCGCCTTGAGCGTGCGATGACCACGCCGGTTTCCCACCACATCTGTTTCGTCATGTGCGCTACTAACGAACTTTACCACAGGAACACGCACCTTCGTGACGTGTTTTCGATTCGTCGCTCGAGACCTTGTCATTCGGTGGACGATCTTAGTGGCCTGTACACACTGCGGCCGTGGCTGATTCGCGGCGTGTCGCAGCATACGGGCGCTGTGGATGATAGATGCGGCAAGGCGGAGGGATTTGTAAGGTGATCCGCCCTCCCGGAGGAGAACCAACAGACGGGAAATCGCAGCCGCACTCAGGGCTGCAGAGCCATGGGGTAGCAACAAGTCTATGATCGGGAGAGTGTCCTCATCATCTTTTGCCACGTCCACAGGGCTTCCGCCGTACTTTCGGGTGCGCACCGGTGCATTTTCTGACCGTTCCGCGTCAAACTCCGCGCGGATTAGATGAAATTCTTTCATTGCCTGCTCACGTGCCTCCAAGACCCGCTGGCTGTGGTCGTGGAGGCAGGACCAAATGCCGAACGATACGGCGATGTATGGCTGCAGTGAGTGTCTTATACGTCTGCGGCTCTGAAGGCGCCTCAGGTGCACTCGGCATAGGACCTCAGCTTGCTGCTCGAGCCATTGAGTCGCCTCATCACCTTTATCCCCCTTAGTTTTACTAGGGGAGTCCAAGGAAAGCAAACGTCGGATTGGGCTGCGCTCATGGAGGGTGTGCATCCTCTCGGCTCGTTGAAGTACTATGAGCAGCAAACCATTCAGAAGTGAATTCATGCAGCCCAACATTACCACAGGTTGATGATGGCGCGCAAATCCGGCAGCACTGAAGAGTGATCTCTGGAACTCATCAGAGAACATAGACTGCTCCGTCCACGACGTCCATCCAGCAGAATCTAACAGGGGGCGCTCATAGCGCTCTCCCAGAGCTGCGCTAAGTTCAAGCCCTAGATGAAGTAGCGCAGTTTGCACGAACGTGAAGAAACCTGCGGCACTTCCATCGCTACCGTGATGAGAAAGAAGTGACTGAGCGACGAAGCCAGGATTGCTATCCTGCCGATAGCTTTGGGAATCAGTGAAGACCACAGTGGCCGCCGTGGCCTCCATGCAATGCAGGAGACCTAGGCCAAGTTTGAGGACAACGGCGTGGAGGGCGTGCCACGCAAGTGTAAACTCACTTGTGACGGCACCAGTGTATAACATGTGTCCAGAACCTCCTTTTTGTATTTCATTTTTCTTATTCCAATCGGCATTTATGTACTCCTCAATTAGGGTATCTAGAATGAATGTTGCCGGGAGTACGGAGTTGTGCATTTTGTTGTGAAGACCTGAAGATGATTCCGAAACGTCCAACAAGGGACTCGCCGGGTCACCTTTCTCAGCGGACGTTTCACCTCCAACTTCCCCGAAAAAATAGGGAAGGGGCACAGCGTCCTCAAGTTCCTTATTTTGTATGCTGTCATGTGCGGTGTGTGGCTGTGTATCTTTAGCTGATATGTGTTTTAGACGTACACAGTCTTGCAGAAGCAAAAGCGGGGCCCAACGCAGATGGCCTAGTTCGGCAGTAGAAGGTAGTGATAAGCCTCGGCTAAGAGAAGAAAAATGAAGGTTAAAGTCTTCACAGTCCCTAACACGACACTGCAGTAAATAGCGTGCCGCACTTTGGAAGAGTTGAGAGGGTGTGTCGCTTTGTTTAACATTATCTTCCATTTGTGCATGAGCCAAATGTCTGGTGCGCCAAAGCAGCTCCGCAGATGTGTCGACAGCCCATTGTGTGAGCAGCGGTGAGAGCCGCAGATATTGTGGCTTTTGAATAGCATCCCCCACATTTGTGCACGAGATTGGCATGTTGAGTGTAAAAAAAGAGCACCATATCCGGAAGATTTCCTCCATGTCGACTTTATCATTAGTTTTCGAAGTGTTAGGGACAGGGACTGCGTAAGTGTGGAGATTGTTGTTGCACACAGGAAAAGTTTCATTGTCATGATTCACATCAAGATTATCAAGCGGTACGGTTTCCTCTGGTTCGCTAGAGCTCAAAATACTCTTCACAACACTGAGGTCTAGACCTAAACACCACGCGCGTTGGCCTTCCCCTCCCACGCCTTGCGATTTCCGATGGGATAAGGTAGGGAGCGCCAGTATGTTCAACCACTGGCAAACTTCACCTTCTCCTTCTTCCCACTTTGGCTGTACATCTGAGCTGTTGAGGCAAGCTCCACGACGAGCCTGAAGGATCGCACGTAGCAGTTCAATTCGATGGGGGTTCGTGCTACTCGACGACTCTGTTTTCCCAAAGAAAGCTGAATAGCTGTCACTCTCTTCTATCGCCACGGTGATTAGATCCACAATGATCTGTAGGATCAGGCCCATATAGGGGGACGTTTCGCGCAACCGTTGTACAACCCGAGCCGCGGCGTCCTCATCGACGCCTTCGTCTGTGAGCAGGAATTCCGCCAGTAGCTTCTGCGGGGCGACCAAACTGGGGTCACCGTGGAACCACGGGCAGCAGCCCATCTCTGCACGTATGCACCGACCATAGGTTAAATAGTCCACACAACATACGGAAGGGTACTGTGTGTATGGACACATGGATGAAACAACATCCCGTGGGGCTCGCGAGGGCGACGCAGGACTAAATACTGACCGGACACAGCCGTCTTTGAGATTGGTGTGACAGCCCTCGCCTTGTATTTGACACGGATGACGCGTTAGACCGTACTTCATATCGGACTTCTTGGCCTCTTTGAGCCGCCTCTGAGAGCGTCGTAGTGGAGCGACATCCGCATCCGGATCTTCTTTGCATTCGCCACACCCTTTTTGCAGTAATGATTCCTCTTTGTTGGTGTTTGACAGAATCTTATCGAACCATGACCGGTTATGCGCAGAACTGCTTGGATGACCTAAGGTCACCCTCCGAACCGCCGCCAAGTGATCACGCCGCACAGATATTTCTTCACCATTGTCCATCTTTAGGATACAACGTGACACTATGCCAGAGTCTCGTGCACTGACTGGCTTCGCATCATGCGAAGGTGTGGTGGCCTCTGAAGATTGATGAGTTTCGCGTACGTAGGCCACCATCTTGTGAGATGTCGCCTTGAGCTCCTGGGAGGGCTCGCTGCGCATGATCGAGGGATGTTCACCACTTTTATCCATGGAACCATGTGATGCCTTGCTACTAAGCGAATCACAAGCTCCCACTGAAAGTGTGGAAGTTTCCAAAAGTTTCCTTGCATCTTTACAAGACCCGTGGAAGGTAATCCGCCCGTTGTCAAAAGCAGCCCCGTAGTTAATAGACCCCATGACACACTTGTTATCATCAACACGGTCCATCCGTAGGCTCCCCGAAATCATCTCAGTGAGTCCCAACATCTCACGCGAGCACTCGTCTACCTTGCGGTCGAATTCATCATAACTCACATGCTTCGCTTGCAGAATGGCCTCCGGGATGAGCATCCCCACCGCGTCACGCCTCATTCCGTGTTTTTGGATGGTCTGCTTGCGAGAGGATGCGAAGGGAAACTTTCTAAATGATAGCTTACCTAGACTAGTATGCCTTTGAGCAAAGCCAGAGGAACCTTCCTTTTTGTGGAGAAAAGTTCGTCTCGGCGTTAAGATGATTCCCCGCCTACCAATCGTCGTGTTCAGACCAAAAATGTTGCATGCACCAAGCGATCGCCCATAAGGCGTGGATACAATAAACGCGGTGGCTTTCGAATTGCGCATTCGCAGGGCTTCAGAAAATATTAGTCTCTAAGTCCAGGCCTATTAACAAGTGTAGATAGGTATTTTTGCGTGCGAAATACACGCTTTTCAATACTACTACTACTTAAAAAAAGGAAAGACGCTTTTGGCTTTAGGCACATTGACCTAGTTACCAAAAAAGTTGTTTGTATCGAGAGAATCTAAAACAAAGAGTCCTCTATGAAAGATTAGTATACCTCTGGAGGCAATTCACCTAAAAAATGTTTAACGCATGTAAAGCGAGGAATGATAATGCAAATATTATCGTTTCGGTCAAATCTAAAGAGAAGAGGAACATGACACAAAGGTGCAGTTTAATAAACATTAAAGATTCAAAGTTCATGTGCATACTCATAAAATCTAAGTAATTAGAAAACCAAGCGGTACAAAGACACCAAAAGGGAAAAAGGATACAAAAAAGATAGCATTTTAAATTATCTAATGTAAATAAATCTTAACGATGAGTAAAGTAAATCAAATAGAAATCTTGAAATATATCAAACACTAGATGACCCTTTACTAAAGAGTGGACATTATTGATAATGCAAAGATACGAAGAAGTAACACATTCCTCCTTTAATAGTTTACCTTTTCATTTTAGATGCATATAAGAGCATAAATAATGTTAAGCCCAAGTAAGCAAATTATTAGCAATAATACACGCCTCATAGCGATTTCTTTTTGTCTACGGCAAGTCAAGGGCAGCTTCAAGTGCTATATCCAGAAGGATTTTTGACAGAAATCTATATGCTCGGCGTACGAATCTCACTTTCTTACCAATGATGGTTATATAATTTGGAATCATCATACTTTTAAAAAAGATTTACGTCATCAAAGATGAAAAAGACTTCAAACACCTAAAAAAGTAAGCGGTGAAACGAGTGGCTTGGGCCTCGAAAGAGAATTCTCACGACTAGACACATCTCCAAGTGGGTTTGACGATTCGATAGAGTCCCTCGGTCCATTATTAACATCAATCTCGGAAGAAGCAAATTTTACATCTTCATCAATTTTAGTAAGCACACGGCGCAACAAATCAAATCGTGCAGACTCCTTAGCAGCAATATTCGACAAACATTTGAAAGAAAGATGAGACTGGAACATAATGTCTTTCATAGCCTCTAGCTGAAGGTGAGTTAACCCTGACAACAACAAATTAAATGAAGAAGAGACATATTCATGCAAATTATTAAGATGGGAATCTCGCATAGAACATTCGAAGCGAGCAGAATGAAGAAAATCCTCAAGTTGACTGATCTCCAAGCCAAGGGTTTGTTCAGTCTCCTCGAGTCTTGCTGTTGTGTCAGCAAGAGTCTGCTCAGTTTCCTCGAGTCTTGCTGTTGTGTCAGCAAGGGTCTGCTCAGTCTCCTCGAGTCTTGCTGTTGTGTCAGCAAGGGTCTGCTCAGTCTCCTCAAGCTTGGCGGTTGTGTCTGCAAGAGTCTGCTCAGTTTCCTCGAGTCTTGCTGTTGTGTCAGCAAGGGTCTGCTCAGTCTCCTCAAGTCTTGCTGTTGTGTCAGCAAGGGTCTGCTCAGTTTCCTCGAGTCTTGCTGTTGTGTCAGCAAGAGTCTGCTCAGTCTCCTCAAGCCTGGCGGTTGTGTCTGCAAGGGTCTGCTCAGTTTCCTCGAGTCTTGCTGTTGTGTCAGCAA